TTAAAAATGAAACAGAATATACATATACTGATTCTGAACTGATTCAAAATCCTAATAAAAACTAAGATCTCAGATACTAAAATAAATTTTAAACAGGTTTATTTATTTTAATAAATGTATATATTTGTTAATAAAAATGTTATTAAGAACATTAATATCAATATGAATATTAACAATCTTAAAATACTCTACTTAAAATTCCCTTTTTCTCCTATTGTATTTTCAAACTATTTAAAGTGCATAAAGTAAAATCAATGAAGAAAAGTGCATGTACTGTATGATTAATCATATACATGGCTCATTTATTCTTAATAATTAAATACATACATTGGACAAAAAAAGACAGTTCAACTAAAAAGCAAAACTCTATACAATATTAAGACTTTTCTCTCGTCTTGTACTAATGATACTAGCATAATTTTATTAGACCTTTTATGGTTAAATAAGTGACAAAATACACACTTACGTTTTTTTTTTGCAGTGTACTTTACATCTGATGTCCCGTTGTGTTAATTTATCACACAGGAAATAGTCAATGATTCATCAGCTGAATAGCATGAATTTGCAAAAAAAAAACCTGTGCCTGCCTCAATAACCGAACACTGGTTATTAAGTGGCGCTGTCGCACCTAGAGGGGAAAATAAAATGTCCACCATCTGTTAGCAGGTGCCACAGAGTTCAGTTTGGGGCAGACATCAGGCTACGCAGCCCCTGGTGACGTGGGATCGGCCACATCTGCTCCAGCTCTGCACTCGGTCAGCATACAAGACCCCCTAAAGCCATTAAACAACACCCCCTCTCCTCATTCTCCCTGCTTACTGTAAGCCCACCCAGCACTGGGGTCATCACTTTCTGACCTGAGTGTGTGTGTGCTGTGGGAGAGCGTGTAGGTGGAAATCTGATCTGATCATGTTGCCTCTCTGCTAAAGCGGAAAAATCAGCATGGACCCGAGCATACATCTGTTTCCAAGAGCTCCCTGCTGGCTTTTACATCCACAGCAGACAGGTGGTGGAACCACATTCAGGTGACTTACGACCAGGGTATGTGAGCTCCACTCCACTCCACTCACTCTGCCTATGACCGACAAGAGCAAAGTTTTAATGGGCAGAGGAGGCACTAGCATAATCAATTAGAAGTATCAGTTTTGTCCAAGGTGTTTCTCCTACCCAGGTTTGCAGTCAACATGTGTTTCTATTGTGTTGTCTTCACCCACTGCACACAAAAGCAAACATACAGCATGACCAGTGCAGTTCAATTCATATAAACGTAACTTTAATGAGCTGTTTCTTTTAATGAATCAGTCAAAAAGAATCATAAGTCATCAGTTTGGATCAGCCCAACATATAAATCTGTCATAGCAGTTAACAAATTAACATCTGACTCCATTGCTGACAGGATGTTTATATGACAAGAAGCAGTTTAAGATAGACATTCATTGAAAACTGATAAAAAAGTGTATGTTAAATAGCATGGGATATTTATATATTATAAATAGTAAAAATATATATATTATACTAATATTAAATAATTATTTGTAATTAATAATACAATAATAAATTAGAATTAATTTAATTTGTTGTTTATTTATAATTCATACAATAATAATAATAATAATATTAATAATATGATTTAATTATATAATTATTTTATATTTGCAGTAACCAAGATGAGTTACTTCAAAAAACCTTTGCAACGTCACCAAGGGAGCGAAATCAGACGCGCTCGTTTTCTCAGAGGCTTGCAGAAAAAGGCTTACCAAAACAAAGTTACTGGGTTAATCTTTTTCATGTTTCCTTGGTTGGTAGATGCACCGGGGACCTGATTATAGCACTTAAAACCTGGAAAAGTCAGATTTTCATGATATGTCACCTTTAAAGGGATCTTGTTTATTGCTTGTATTTCTTATAGGAAGAGGTCCTTGATTAACCAATGTGGCCTTTCTGTTAAAGCTGATTGACAAATGCGCTCTTGCTGGTTAAGCTAGTTAAGAAGCCTGGTAAGGACACAAACACACTAGCATCCAAAACACAACCTATGCTGAACTTTGCAATAGAGCAGATACACCACAACCTCTCACTTTCTTTCTCTCTGTCTATATGACAGTTAAGGTAGAGTCTCTTTATATCCTCCCACTCCAGCAGAGGCTAAAAGCTTCCTCTCTTTCTAGTGATGGTAAGAGCCTTGCAAAATTAATAGAAGTAATGAGGTCCCCTGTGGAGGCAGCCAAGTTGATCTTAAGAGTCAGACCTCTATTTAGATCTCACAAGTCCTGCTCTCTATCGGACAAACCTGGTCTCGTTCTTCCTCCCATCTATCCACTCAGGCAAATCCTGAGCGACTGTCTCTATCTTGAGCACTGGCATTAAAGCATACCACATCTCCCACCACTGTTGTTGAGAACTACGCTGAAATGCCTCTTGAAATCGCTCTGCCAGACTCTCTGGAGACCCGCTCCTCTCTCTGCCATCTTTTTCACTCAAAAGCCTTCTTGATAAGCTCTTCACCTTCACAAAAGTGGAGGTGGAGGTCTGGTGTGCCATATTCACCAGTCATTAAGACTCCAGCAATGTGGAGTCTGATCGTAAAGCCACCTTAGCCATCTAAAAGCTCTTCATTGCCTTGACTTCTCCAACCTTCCCCCATCAAATGGTGACTAAAAGCATAGTTATCTATAAAGAGAACAAAACAAGCCCATAAGAGCTTGATTACACATCCTGCTCAGGTTGCGTTCACACAGATTGGTTATAACATTTAAGTAAACAAAAATACTGTTTATAACTAAAGTGTCTTTTAGGACTCTTAGGACCTGCCTTTTGAGAGAGAGTTTGGTAAAATAAATTCTATTTAGAGTTTGCCGTCTGAACAGACAACATGTTTTTCTATTTAAAAACTAACAACATTTCTTTTTAGTAAAACTGTCATAGTAGTTAACATTTGACTCACAGGCAGGATGTTTATATGACATTAAGCAGTTTAAGTTTTTAACTACTGCTAAAGATTTTTAAGATATTAACATTTAAATAATAAAAAAGAAATAACATTTAATACAAAAACGTATGTTATATAGCCCAAGTTATTTATATATTATAAATAGTAAAAAAAAAAAAATTTTGCCAAACATTTGCAAATGAATTTATTTATTTAATGTATTATAATATCATTCTTAATAATCATCATACAATATAATAATTTATAATAATAATACAAATAGTAGTAAATAAAAACAACAGATGATAAATAGCTAATAAAAAGTTATCAGATAAATGAGATATTATAATATTTGTATTTATTATACAAAATAAAATAATAGATGATAAATAGGTAACAAGTTATCAGATAAATAATATTTTATTATAATATTTGTATTTATTATACAAAATAATAGTAAATATTATTGTTACAACAAATAATAATAAATTATAATCATATTTTATTATATATTTTTACTCATTATACCTTAATAATAATAATAATATCATCATAAAATATAATAATTTATAATAATAATAATAGTAAATAAAATAATAGATGATAAATAGGTAATAAGTTACCAGATAAATAATATTTTATTGTATTTATTATATAATTTTTATTTATTATAACAAAATAATAGTAAATATTACCAGACAAATAATAATAATAATAAATAATAATATTTTATTATATTTATACTCATGATACAATAACAACAACAACTATTATTATTATTATTATTATTATTATTATTAATAGACAAGTTATACATCAATTACCTAAAAACAGAAAGCTGTAGAAAACACTGACCCAGACATATGATCAGACCCTTGAAGAATGGTGTCATCACAACACCCCTCAGACCCATCAGAGACCCCAGTTCTTTCAATCTCCAAAACCTGCTACATGTAACGGGAAGCTCAGCTGATCTACATGATTAAAACATCCTGCTCTAGGGCCGGTCGACCACACACAGGAGGCAGCGTCGAGTGACAAGGTCAGCCAAATGTCAGTATGAGTGTGTGTGGGTAGTTGGCTGGGATTAAGGCTGGCGAATGTTGACTGGAGAAACAAGTGCCTCTTCACATATAGGCCTAAATGGTAAAGACTTTCTCTAGCCTAGCAGGTGCATGTCTGTATGCATGTGTGCAAAGGAGGCGGGCTTCTTGGTGAGTCACCAGGCATCAAGTCGATGCAGAGCAGGAAGCAAAGGTCCACAGTCCTTGCGCTGCAGTTCCTGTTCACTGCAGGGTATCGCCTTCTCAGCATAGCTGTCTAGAGCCACAGAGCCACAGAGCCAACACCCAGCACCGAATCACACATACACACTCACAAACATGCACATATTCCCACTTGCACACTGAGAACAGCTTTCTATATACTCAAAACCATGAGCTTTTCAGTTTATCAAATGAGCTGCAAAGGAACCAAAAGGCACTTGGAGATGGAAAAACTATTTCTAGACTTTCATAAATTCATAAGGACACATTAAAGGAATATAGCAGCAGATAAAATCTGAAGTGTGTGACTTGTGAGCCACTAGTAACTGAAAAAAGAATGATAAAAAAAAAAAAAAAAACGTTTGTGACCATTTTTCTAAGTGTAATAAAAATGCAATGGAGAGCATTGGGTGGTCAAACCTTTTCTGTTGTTCCCACAAAAGTGGAGTCTATTCAGTGGAGTCAGTCTATATGAATGATATGATGCTATATTAAAAAAAAAATAATAAAAAAAAAAAAAAACGTTTTCCCAAACACACTCCCCACCTGCCATTGGCTGGACAAACAGATAGCCCCGCCCTAGTATCTCTGCATTTTAAACTGGAGATAAAAAAAGTATTTTTACACTTAAAAACCACAGACAAGCTGTATTATTATTTTCCATATTATTATTTCATTATTTTCATAATTACATTGTTCTGTTTGTTTCATAATTATGTTGTTCACTAATGATTCATTGTCTTTCATGATGTTGCTCCGAACATCATGTGCCTAGTTTTTGGGACATTGTTCGATTTCAGACTCACCTGTTTATGTGGTCCTCTCAGGATGTGAGCTCTGGCCCCCTCACACGCCGTCCTCATGGCCTCCAGAGACGGAGTCCCCAGCAGATCTGTGATCAAGTCCAGCTAGTATATAACAAGAAAAGGAAGAGCAGATGAGTGCTGTAAAAAAGATGTATAAAACAAGACTTTATGAGCACATATTCTCCTGAAATCCAGGAATTCAACTTTTAGCCACTGTAGTAAATGTTTATTTATTTATTTATTTTTTTGCTTTTCAGGAATACCACATATTTAGGGATGTGACAAATATGCTAAACAATAAATTAAATAATAATAACACTTAATATAACAATTATTTTTGCAATTTACTTTGGTTCTAAACGTCATAATTATGTCATCATAAAACAGTTGGGTCTCAGAAGGATGTGACATAAACTAATGTAAATAAATAACCATAAATAGAAAGTTCTGATTTAAAACACAAAATAACCGAATATAATAAAAGAGTCGGAGAAGGACAAAGGGAAAAATAAGAAACTAGATAAATGTTCATGATCTGTACATTAACAAACTGGAGCAGAACCATGTTCAAGTAAATCACACACACACACACACTGAGGAACAGCCAGTCCCAGAGTCTCTGACACACTGCAGAGCCAGTATTATTAGAACATATGGCTCATATTCTTCTGTGTGATATACATAAAAATACTTCTCAAAGAATTTCTTACTTGCATCATACTTAATGTTTATGAGACTCTGAACAAAATAATAGTAGAGGCCTCTGTGCATGTGTGAAAGCTAGAGACATGCTGTCTGAGCTGCAAACACACAGCCATGGAGGACAGAGGGCTTCTGGGTCACGGCCACACTGGGGCTTCAGTTCAACAGAGCCTTGAGCTGCCCCCGCTCGCTCATTAGCATGGCTGTACAACATTTGCCAAAAATACTGTATGTTAAGGTCACATGTTTAGCATCAGTGTCCAAGATTTTCTGTTTTCACTAAGAATGCTACAAAGCCTTTTATCTATAATAGCACTACTAATGAAACTTTTCTTGAATTATTAAATATCAAACCATTCTATTAAATTATTTTTATTTTTAAGGAAAAAAAATAAGAATCCAAACAATACCAGATTGAGTAATGGCTCCAAAATGAATGGCAAGTGAATGGAGAATTAAATATAAATATTTAACACCATAAATGTATAGAAAATACTTCTTACTGGTCATGAAAGCTGTATTCTGAATTAAAAAAAATAAAATTTACTACTGTATATTTATGATGAACAGCGCCAGTTGTCATATACACAATATTTTTAGCAGCTTAATGTGAGCAATATTTCACCACATAGACTTCTGGAGAAAAACAAAATGCTATAATGCACATTTTAAGTAGGTAAAAGCTGTCAGAATGTAAACAAGAAAATCTCTATGAAAAGATCTAGCGACTTTAACAGCTTATTCATTTGCTTGAGTCACATAATTTATGTCAGACAAAAAAGGCGAGGCTTCAGTTCTTGCAATTTAATCCATGCAATATGCTGTAGTTCCTAGGGAAGTTAGAAGCCAAATTGGTTAGAAAGCTTTTTGTTTACAAAGCCAATTTTGACTCTTTTGGCGCTTGGTGAGTGTTAATTGTGGACCCTGATAAAGAAGGTTCTACTTAACACATCTGAGAGGCCAAATGATCCCAAATCTGCAATGATTCACAAATACCACAAAGAGAGCAGTTAGACATTTCCCTTAAAACAGTCTGTGAGTTTAGGAAAAGAGATCAACATCAAAGACATAATGTCCTGGATGTTCACCTTAGCTGTTCTGGTAAGGTTCTGATAAGAATGTTGTTCCAAGAACAATAACTAATGTTGATACAGGAACATGTTCACATGAGTTGTGTGAAAAGGCAGGTTTCTGTCTACAGATCGAGTGCTGAACACGAGCGTAGGTGAATACCTGTTGGATGGGACTCTGAGCCTGGAAGAGGATGCGTCGGCCAAGCAGCTCGGCAAAGATGCAGCCCACAGACCAGATGTCGATGGCGTTGGAATAGTGCCTGCTCCCCATCAGGATCTCTGGCGCTCTGTAGTACTGCGTCACCACCTCCTGGGTCATGTGACGCGACTCGTCCAGCTCCTCCACTCTTGCCAGGCCAAAGTCACAAATCTGTGCAGAATTTAGGATTATTTACACACTTAATAGGTTGATGAGTAAAGTCTGAGGTGTACATTTATTGACAAGCATGGAGAAGAAATTTTATTTTCAATAAATTATGCAATAAAACCAAAATTACATGTAGAGGCTCATTCACCTTTTAACCAAACAGATAAACAATAAAAGTGCTACAAATACAAGTCCCAATTTCCAATCATCTTGAGCTGCTTGAGTGCTCCTGGGAAATAAATAAATGAGAAAAATATCTCGGCCTCTTCTCTCCACCCACTCTTAGAAAGAAGGCACAAAAGGGCTTATCATGCATTACTAACAATTTACTTAAGTAGCTCCATCCAGTTTTTCCCAGAGGACTAATTTTATGCATTCCCACAAGATGAATTCAAATCCTGCAAGCAACACTTAAACATGCACTTTATTGAAACAATTTCTTGTGTCTTCTTACATTCCATTCAAGTAAAACACCACCATTTAAGGAAAGAGTGACAAGCTGCCAAGGTGTTACTATGTCTGTCTGTCTGTCTGTCTATCTATCTATCTATCTATATTATATAATTGTAAAATGTGTAATTTGAAAGAACAGCTAAAGATAAGTCTGTGAAATTTTTTCATGGTACATAAAAAATGTAATACATATGGTTAGGAGTGTGCTCAATTATCTGCATATTAAAGAGTCTCAGAGCACACACTAATAATAGTAAACATGTTATGGATATAAAATAAATCACATTTGAACCTAAATCAGACTTGAGCATGTTTGATTGCAGGACATGGCCATAAGATAAGGTCTCGCATATAATAGCTAAATGAGAGAAACATTCTTCTTTTTCGGAAATGTGGCTAAATGAAGCAGCGCATGCTAAATGATTCGCTCTCTGTGGTCCAATAGCACAATCTATTCCAGTTCTCCCTTCAAGCACTTTTCTCATGCTGCTGGGTGAAGTCAGCACGCACAAACACAGAGAATTTCTCTTTTTCTTTTTCTTTTTCTTTTTCTTTATCTCTCTCTCTTTCTGTATCTCCCATATCAACCTTGCTTTCACTTTTGCAGCTGGGCTCTCTCTATGGGATCCAAAATGAAGATTTATGTCAGGAACCGAGCAGATGAATCAATCCCAAAGGGGCCCTGACCCCCTGGAGCCAGAGATTGTGTGTTAATGTGTGTACGCTGGCGCTGTAGACCTGGCCTGGCCAGACAGACATGAAGCGTACTTGCTCTTCGGAAAAAAGGAATTATAAAGACAGAATTCAAGGCCCATAGGCTAGAGTACATAATGCTAAAACAGCAGGAGAGCACAGAGACAAAAGAAACCAGTACAATAAAACTTAAACAGGCAAAATCTCACATATATGTACCTGCATATATAGATAGATAGATTTATTTTAATTTCTTAGACTTATCATTAGCTGTGTGTTTGAGAGACCAAAATTGTCACTTTGAGCCAATTATTCAGTCACCTGACTGTTTAGTATTATACTGTGTTATTTCCATTAATTGAAAAAAAAAAATCTATTGTAGATTTAAAATAAAATATCAATATTAATGAAAAACTAAAACTTAAAAACTGAAATGCAACTAACTGTAATAAAATAAAAGTTGAAGTACTAAAATGACATTTAAAATTTTAATTGTTTAAAAAATCTTATACTTGCAAAGACTACATTCATTTGACAAAAAATACAGTAAAGCATTAATGCTGAAAAAATGTTTAGCAATTTCGATTTTATATTCGATTTAAAATATAATTTATTTCTGAATTTTTTTGAAATTTTGTGGAAACCTTATATAAACCATATATATATATATATATATATATATATATATACACACACCCACACACACATATATATAAGAAGTTTGCTGTATTTTAAATAAAATAATTGATATAAACAACTGTCTTAAGAGTCCAACTACAGGGTCAATTTCTAAAAATAACCACTGAAGCAAAATCGAGAATAGAAAGAATCGTCAACACATCAAAAATTTGACTAGTATTTCACTAACCTTAAGCACACAGTTGCTGTTGACCAACAGGTTACCAGGTTTAATGTCTCTGTGCAAAATGCCAGCTGAGTGTAGATACTTCAGTCCTGCGGACACAACATATACATCAGTCATTAAAGACATTTTGTGGACACAAACTGTATTGATATGAAGCAGACTGCGCTGTTATGCTGTACAGGTCTCTTGTTTGGTTTGAAATGTAATCTAGTTGACATATAAACAGACTTTTTATTTCTAAACCATTTTTCCTCTAAGATGTAATAAAGCTTTGTGTCACTTCAAAACACTGAAGTTATATGTCTTATAGGGACCAGTTAACCTTATTCCTAATGAATCAGATGAAACATGTCAGCTGTCCTACAGTAAACAAAATATCAAAGAGGCGACTGTTTCTTGTTTCTCCCATTCGTATTCTTACACTATGAGTGGTCCATCTCTTCCTCCTCACTTTCTCTGGTGTGAAAATGATAGTAAGGAACATGAAGTAGAGAGGTGTGTGTGAATGTCTGTGTAGTTCTGTACCCATGAGATTTGGTGAAGAAAGCCTCAGCGTGGAGAATGTGTGTGTCTGAACTCTGAGGGTGAAACTTTTGAAATAAAATTTTGAAATAAAGGGCTTAGTGTGTGTGTATCTCACCTCGGAGGATCTGGTAGAGAAAGACTTTGACGTGGTCAGAGCTCAGGGGCTGTGGAGACACGATGATCTTATGGAGGTCACTCTGCATCAACTCCGTCACCACATAACTGCAGTAAGTGTTATGTCAAGGGAAACAAGCACGCCAAAAATAACAGCAGGAAGTTCACACATACAGCAGTGCTCCAAATGATGGCCAGTATTAGCACTCATCTAAAACAGAGCCAGTGGAGAGGGTGAATGTGAAGAGGACTAGTATTTGTCTAAAGCGCCACTCCTAAACTAGAGCACAAAGTCAACAGTATTAGTCGCACATTATTACATTTTTTTTAAATCACAGATTTTAAAATGTGATGATGGACTGTACATTTTACTCCTACCCCAATTTTTGTCTTGAGTAAAGTTGTTTAGTAGACTTTAGTTACAGGTTTGTGGCGTGACCAGAAATGAAAAACAGCACTTTTTAAAACAATAACAAGGTACTGCTTCCATTGTTAAACTTGTTGTTAGTTTTCAGTTTAGCATGAAACCTGCTGTATAGTGACATTTTCTGTCTCAAATTGCACTGAGAAGATTGAATAACTGCACTGAGGATTCATTTTAGTGAATTGTTTCTTTTTCTGGATGGTTTGTGATTCATTTGAGTCATCTTTTAATGTTCTTTAGGCAATACGTATTTATTTATTTTATTTTTTGAAATTAAAGGTGCAATAGGTGATTGTCTTCAGAAAAATAGTTTTTATGCTGGTTTAAAGTCTCTTCACATCCCGATAGCAATCATTAAGTTAAGTGGTATAAATGTATATATCTGTATTTATATATTCTGTGGAAGGCGTAGGACCAAGAAATGTTCGTCCAATCAAAACGCTCGATCCGAGCTTTTTAATTGACTTTCCTACCTGCCTGTCAACGTATGTATTAGCATACCTCTGCGCACCCGGTTCGCGCAGACAGGATACGTCATCAGCGCGTTCACGTACGCTGTGCAGACAGAGGAGAATGGCAGACAAACATCAACAACCTCATCTTCCTTCCTGGTATTGTAGTACTTTTACTAACTGTACTATAAAGAATGACACATGATGTAGCCCAGTGGTTCCCAATTCCAGTCCTCGCGCCCCATGTCTCGCTTAGTTAAAGGGGTCATATGATGCAATTAAAATTTTTCCTTTCTCTTTGAAGTGTTACAAACTCTTGGGAAATACAACAACTTCCCGCTGTGAATGCCGGATCGGCTTTCACCGTGGATGAAGCAGTCCAGCCCGGGGTCATCACATGTGGTTGCCGCAAGCCCACCGGCCGCTCTTTCGTCGAATCCGCCGGCCGTTCCTCACTCTAGCCCTCCGGCCTCCGCTCACTCTAGCCCGCCGTGTGTTTTGTTGTGAAAGCGAAACTACTTTGTTTGGTCTTCCAAAAGAGGACACGACTAGAAATCAGTGGTTAAGTTGTATTTACAACACTGTTCCAGAACAGTTCAACCCAAATATTCATTTGTGTGCAGCACATTTTATGGATCCTGGAAGAGTACACTACAACGTAACATTTCCGTCACACACTTGAGGTATTCGGCCAATCACAATGCACTGGATAGCTGGCCAATCAGAGCACACCGCGCTTTTCAGACCGATGAGCTTTGTAAAAATCTACGCGTTTCAGAAAGGCGGGGCATAGAGGTGAAACAATAATGTACAGTATGTGGAAAATAATGTGTTTTTTGTGCCTTAAACCGCATAAACATTTCATTACACCAAATAATGTTATTTTTAGAAATATCATATGACCCGTTTAACACACCTGATTCAGATAACCAGCTCGTTAGAAGAGAGCTACGTGCATGAATTGTGTTCCGATTGACATGCTCCCTACACAGTGTTCATTACTCCCTACTCCCTGAGCAGGGGAAATCCGTTGAAGTTTACTTCACTTCGGAACATTCATTCACAGATTTGCACTGTGCAGCGTCTTCACACACAGACTAAACTTACTAGAGAAGTGTGAAGTGTGACATAATATACCTCTGTAAATACTAACGTTATTTAAATGTACGTCTCGCACACTTTAATGCCCTTTGTATGGAACTTATACGCTCGCTTCGAACTGGAATCTTGGCGGAATATCCGGTGATGTCCACTTCGCAGGGCACTTACAGTCGAATAGAACAAACGTCGCACGTGATAAGAGATACATATGAAATGTGCGGGGTGTAGGGGTGGGGTGCGAGGACTGGAATTGGGAACCGCTGATGTAGCCTATTGTAGTAATGTTGTCTCTGGGATTCTGGTCTGTGAGCGTATATATGCGTTCAGGGGGCGTGGCTTTGGACGGCGATTGCAGGGAGGGTGGGACGTTCGCTATCAGGCTAAAGTTAGCATTTTCCAAGATCTCCTACGGCACCTTTAAAGAAGTATTTGATTAAATAAAACTACATATTACTTTATTTGAACAAGTCAATAAGCTTTTAAAATGATATTTATTTTAATTTCTTAAAATATTTTATCTTCATATTCATATGTCAAGAATAATCTTTTTTATTATTGTTTTATAATCATTTTAAAAAGGTAAAGAAGTGAATGCTTAGATACTTCATATTGACAACAAATTATGCTTTTGGCAGTATAATGTAACAATATCATTTATTATTTACCTACAAACTAATATAAACATATCTTTATATTCCATATTCATCTGTGAAGAATAGTTTTCATTACACACAGTATGACTAATTCATAAATATATATCAGAAAAGAAAAAATAAAATGAAAGAAAATAGTTGTCCTTGAAAACAAAATCTCTAAATCAGTTTTAGTTATTTAAATAATAGCAGCAAAAGCATTGTTTGTTGTATATTTTAACACAGTATCATTAATTGTTATTGCACACCTGCAAAGAAAAGAAAGTGGCATTACATTCTGCTTTCGATGGACAGCCCTGGCAGAGCAGGTTTGGGAGGCTTCACAAGAAATATCAGGGTGTGATGATGTGGCCATTACACGGTGATGAATGAAGATGTTGAAAACGCATATAGAAAGTGTTACAACAGCCACTGAGTGAGCTGAATCCAAAAGGGAACGTAATCCAATCAGAACAACTACTACTACTAGAATTCCCTTCATTACATTGTGACCGTCAGGGCTCAATGAAAGGCTCCGTTTTCAAGTGTAAGGGCATAAAAGCACATATTTGCCCTCTACTACAATTCCCAGAATATAAAACACACCGATGAGCTGCTCTTTGCCGTACAGTCCAGCTAATAAACACAAACCGGAGAGCTGTCACTTCTGAGTATCTAGGTCTGACCTTTATGTCGAGAAGATTATGATGTTGAATAATCTTCACCTGGAGACACCCATTATGACTCATTCATGTGCTAAAGAACAAACAAGGAGCAATTATCTGCTTCAGCTCTACTAGTCTCTCAAAACAAACACCAACTTCAGCAATCAACACATATGAGCGCCGACTCAACACGTCGCCTGTCAGTAAATACAAGCGATGGAGAAAGCGTAGGAGGACTTCCTGGCAAAGACAAACCGCCTGTGATCTTCCTTTTATAAACACAAAGATGAGCCGCTCTCTGCCACTCGGTCCAGTCGAGGATTCGCACTCGCTGGCAGGGAGTCACGCACACAAAGCTACACAAGGTTTGACAGATGCAGATCTGTGGTTCAAAAAAAGCTCATCCAGTCATCGACACTGCGGCCGAGTCAGCAGAGGCAACACTCTTGTGTGTGTGTGTGTGTGTGTGTGTGTGTGTGTGTGTGATAACTACAGCTGAGCATGCAGGACTGCTTGATTGACTGTCTGCTGGGACAAGCTCATCCTCTACCCACCCCTCGGTTTTCCCTCAAGTTTCTCAGCTACAAGAGTGTCACAAGTATTTTCATGCCATCTTTCACAGTGTCACTGCAAATTGACACGGCTTCTCTTCGCAGCCTTGGAAGCATCTCTCTTCTGCTTTTTGTGTCTCTTAGGCAGGTTTTTTAAAAGCTTTCTCGACATATTTAGTGTTTTAAAACTTGTAACCCTAAGTTATAAACTTGCAAGCAACTTATCTCGCAATTATATCTTGCAACATAACTGGGAAAAACAGAAACTCAACTAAAATACATTTTCATCGCTCCAAAGCAAATGAAAATAAAATGAAAATGGCCAAATAATTTTTTTTACAACTTTTTAAAATAACAGACACTAGTTAGCGCATTAATTTTCAAAGCCCTGAAATACTTAAAATGCTGAAATATAAACTGAAACTAGCTAACTAATCAAAACTAAAGTAAAACTAACACTTTTTAGAGTAAAAACTAACAAAAACTAAGTTTGTTCTGTGAAATCTTGTGAAATCCAGTCATTTTAATTGGAATCCATGAGATCAGGAATTTTGTGTGATGGTGAAAGATTTCCCCGTGCAGATTTTGCAAGCTGATCACTCGAATTTGCCAAGTTGACCAACAGAAAGCTGCTTGATTTGAAAATGACTTCTGTGTGAGCTGTGCTTCAGACATCGCTACACTATAAAAAAAAAGAGACTAAGAGTATAAGAATAAGAAGAGACAAGAATACCTTAGCAATCCATATAGCAAGTCCCTGACAACCACCAGACAAGAATACCTTAGCAATCCATATAGCAAGTCCCTGACAACCACCAGGAACCCTCTAGAATCGTAATGGTAATGAACTTTTACATGTTTGTATTACACTAAATGTTGTATTTAGTCTAAATATAGTTTTTGCTGTATCCCTAAATGAGGTGATCACCCAGAACATCCAAGAAACAACAGAGTACCATGCTAGAAACATGCTATAACCACAAATACCTTAGCAACCATACACCAAGTCCCTGGCAACCACTGAGAACACTCTAGCATTGTGGCGGCACTTTTTCTTCAGAAAATCTAGTTATGTTGCTACAATTCGACAGCATATGGACTATAAACAGCCAGTTCTCTCCTTTTTCTCCCTGAGATTTTCACATCCACTATGAAACAAAAGCAATATTTGTTTCACAGCTCTTTGTGAGGTAATAAAACATTACTACACTGCAAAAGGGCAACAGGCCTCTGCTGTTAATTTGCCAGACGAACTGTGAGTATTTAGTAACTTATTTAGTAAC